AGCAATCAAAACACATAGTTATTACTTGCATAATCAAGGTAGCCAATAAAATGGAAATCACAGACCTTACCTCGTGTTTCGGAGCTAAAACACATACATACCTGCTCAATGTACTCACCAGAACTAAGGTCAAGAACACCCAAGTAGAAGCAGATATTCACAGTAATCAATCAAGAGCAAATAAACATGTGATGACTATATAATATAGGATAACACACAAATCTTCTCAAAAAAATTACATTCACATAGAACAACATATTATCACTAAGTTAATCAATAACTGGCCAATACATATGCAACACATGCATAAAATGACCCACAAAAAGACCTCACCACGCTTGTCCTATCTCATTCTGTGTTTTTTATATGTCGAGAACACATATCTTCTCTCATCACCCACCATGCTCACTAGATTGATCATTCAACTCTTGTCTAACTGGTAAGTTACAATAGATCCTAAGTTCTCGGGATAATCCTCTATCACCATATCACTTCTTTCAACCTATGTGGATAATAGGTCTCTACCTAATAGAAGTGATAGAAATGTCTCTCTCATAGTCCACTTGATCAGAGTCTATTTACAGATAAAGGATTTCAACATTTAATCACATCTCCACTTCTGATACAAATGTCACACTCCATATCTCCTGTGCAAGCCACAATGTATCCCTAGGCATTCATACTCCATATTACCAAAGACAAACAACTCAATGCTAATGCGTCTCAAACTCATTATGGCAAATCAACACCTTCGGCGAAACACAAAGGTTAGGGCTCAATTTAAATTGACTCATACACCACAAGGATACTCCAATAACCAATGCTTAAAAAAAAATCATAAAGGAAATGGTGAAGGTGGCACACATAAAGAGAATAAAAGAAAGAGTTGGTTACTTCACTACTCACAAAAGAGGCTCACAAAGAAGAAAGAGACAACCCTACATGGCTGCCTCAAACAATTTCACAAATTACACGGGCTCACAAAGATAAATGAGAAAACGGCTACCCCTTTTTCTTCTCACTATTCCACACCTTTACACCACTCACATAGCAAAAGGAGTACGCCACAAATCTCAACTCACTATGCATGGCAGGGACGGAGTCTGATTTTTAGGCAATTCTAGGTAGTTTTTGGGACAGGTGTGCAGTCCATATCCAGGATGCGACAGGGACACATCTTGACTTTTAGGTATTTTTAGGCAGCTTCTGGAGCTTGGTGTGCAGGCAATGTCCGGGACGTATCTGGGCCGTGGTAGGGATGTATCCTAGTTTCTAGGCATTTCTAGGTAGTTTCTGGGACGTGGTGTGTGGGCTACGTCTAGGATGCTGTAGGGACACATCCTGATTTTCACATATTTCTTGGCAATTTCTTCCACCCAGTGTGCAGGCAATTTTCGGGATGCGTTAGGGCTGCTGTAGGGATGCAACCTGATTTTCAGGCACTTTTAGGCAGTTTTTGGGACACGGTGTTCAGGCCCTGTCCAGGACGCGGCAGGGACGCAGCTTGATTTTCAGGCATTTCTAGGCAGTTTCTGGGACACGGTGTTCAGGCCATGACCAGGACGAGTCAGGGCCATGCAGGGATGCAGCCTGATTTTGAGGCATTCCTGGGATATTTTTGGGCATGGTGTGCAGGCCGCGTCCTGGACATGGCCTAGCCGCTATAGGGATACAACCTAATTTTCAAGCATTTGTAGGCAGTTTGTGGGCATGGTGTGCAGGCCATGTCCGGGACGTATCCTGGCCGCGGCTGGGATGCCGCCTAATTTTCAGGCATTTCATGGAAATTTCTGGGATTCGGTATGCAGGCCATGTCTGAGACGTGTCATGGCCAAGGTAGGGACGGAGCCTAATTTTCAGGCAATTTTGGGCAGTTTCGTGGACACGGTGCGCCGGTTACCTCCAGGATGTGGCAAGGATGCATCCAGACTTTCAGGTATTTTTAGGTAGTTTCTGGAACACGATGTACAGGTAATGTCCGGGATGCATCTGGGCCGTGGCAGGGATGCAGCCTGGTTTTCAGACAGTTTTCGGGACATGGCGTGTAGGCCATATCTAGGATGCTGTAGGGGCACATCTTGATTTTCACATTTTTCTATGTAGTTTCTTGGACACAGTGTGCAGGCAATGTCCAGGAATCGTCTGGGCTGCGGCAATGATGCAGCCTGATTTCCAAGCATTTCTAGGCAATTTTCGGGACATAGTGCGCAGGCGATGTCCAGGACACGGCATGGATGCAACCTAATTTTCTAGTATTTCTCGTCAATTTCTGGGTCATTGTGTGCAGGTCATGTCAGGGACACGTTCGGGCTACGACAGGGACAAAGCCTGATTTTTAGGTATTTTTGGGCACTGTGTACACATGTTCGGGACGTGTCTAGGCCAGGTAGGGACGCAGCCTAATTTTTAGGCATTTTTAGGCAGTTTATGGGCACAGTGTGCAAGCCAAGTCCGAGACGCATCCTGACCGCGGCAGAGACGTTGCCTAATTTTTAGGCATTTATAGGCAATTTTTGGGAATTGGTGTGGAGGCCCAGTCTGGGACGCGTCATTGCCACGGCAGGACGCAACCTGCCTTTCAGGCATTTTTAGGCAATTTTTGGGTCATAAGGTTTAGGGTTTTTTTAATTAATTTAGAATTAAAACTAGGAAATATATATGTGATGAAGAATAATTAAAATAAAATGTAGCTCAACGTTAAAACCCATGAATAATAAAACTAGTCTACACAACAAAACCAAACTTCCCACCGTCACAGTGCCATAAATAAACCCCTCCGCCGCCTTCAGACCAGTACCACCGTTAGTCGGGGCTGACACCGGTGCATGGTAGTGGTGATGGTGATGATGAGGAGAAGGTGTCTGCGCTGTAGATTTGTGGCCGGAGCCATGTTTATAGGGCAGAACCATAACTTCTAGCTTTTGACCCTTCTGGCAATGTTCTTCAGCTACACTGATGAAGAAAAATAGACCTGATTTTTCTAGTGAAATCGTAGTTTCTCCATCATGGTATTATTTTATTGGATTGGCGTTGTTGTAGATTTTGTAGTCTTCCTCGGTAACTTCCAGCACTGAATCAGTCTTGGAATCATACTTCAGTACTAAAGAATCCCCGATCTGAAAATGTGTTTTCTCAGCCCATTTGTTGAACTCATCAATTGAAGATGGAACTAACCATAAATTATTTTTACCGCCTACTACGAACTCTCTGCTTCAGAAAGAACACACAACAAAAACACGACGTCCAAAAATAAGAAAATATTTTTGAGTGAAGCCATTTTAACCGAAAAATTGACAGATTTTCAAATAAAATTTGAGTAATTTTGTAGACAATAGAATAGAATGGTTTAGGGTTTAGGGTTTAGGGTTCAGGTTTTAGGGTCCAGGGCTTAGGGTTTACGATTTAGGGCTTAGAGTTTAGGGCTTTTTTTTTTTTTTTAGGAAATACCACTAGTGTGGTTTATTTTATATAATGAAAAGCGAGAATACAACTAAAGGAAGGGGCATAGACCTGACCTCCAAATGTAAATTGTAACAAATATCTCAAGATAAAATGCAATCACAATAAACAAGACACGAACAAAAAACTAGTGAAAGCTACTCAAGGGTATTCCCAAGGGTAAATCATCGGGTGGTAGTACATAGGCATCGATCTGGTCATGCATATGGTCTCAAACATTTTCGGATCATAGTAGTCTGCATTGTTTGGCTCGCTCGTTGGAGTGGGGTCTCGCCTGCGTGAAGAAGCGTACTTTGGTGAAAAGTACTGTTCAGATGGTGGTGCACTGAATGTCGGGTGAAAAGAAAGTGCGTCTGATCTCATGGTACTAGTCACAGGTGTGTCTAATCTCATGGTGCTCTGTGCTACAACATCTGAATCATGGGAGCTGCTGACTATAGGGACATCGTCCTCTGCATTTCGCACACAATCTCCAAGGCCCATGCCATCTATGTCTCTCTGTATATGTTCTTTTACCTTATTTTGTGTAGGAGCTATTATAGAAGGATTGGGTGAAGGTGTATGTGTAGGAGTCTTACTCATAGAAGGTCCCTCACCAAAGAGCTTAAAAACTAAGTCCTCAATAGCAAATCTCATGGTAGATCCAACTTTCATTCCATAGTCCTTCTTAAAGTGATCAATCAACATACGCTTAACACCATGTCTCTCTGAGCTGATCTCAGCCAACAACCCTTGTGCAAGAGTGGTTTGAGGAACTGTCCCGGTACCTGATCCCTGTGTTGATTGAGTACCATCTGTGTGTGTCTTCAATGGTGGAGAACTGATATGTGTCAGCTCAGGGGGTACATCAGTAGTAGCTGTGGGAATAGGAGCTATGGAAGTAATAATAGGAGAAGTAGACACCTCGATAGGAGCATTTGGAGTAGGTTCAGCAATTGAATGAATATACAGGGGTGCCTCTGGATCAACTGTGATAGGAGTAGATGTAGGAACTACTGGTGCAGATACTGACTTTATCACAACTGCGGTAGTAGTAGTAGGAAGCACAGAAGGCACTGCTAAAACTTGCACCCACTGTTTCTTTGGCTCTACAAACGTCACCTTATCTTTTTCCTTGTTAGTCCTAGTAATAGGGGCTGAATAGGGGGATGCACAACAACTGTAAGGAGAGGAGGAGGAACTGTAGTACACTGATCATAAGAATGGCCCAAGTGTTTACAAGAGAAGCAAAATATTGGCCACTTCTAATAAATAACTGTCTACCAAAAGCCACGGTTATCGACACACTCAATTCAAAGCCTCTCAAGCAACTTATGCCCCAAATTCACCTCAATGCACACCCTTGCCTCACTAGGGCGTCTCAAGTCGGAGGTGGCCTCATCCAGGATTAGGGCTTAGGGTTTAGGGTTTTTTTTGCCTGAATTACCCTTTAATAAGTTCTAACGAAGCAGCAGAATTCAATTTTACAGATATTTGTAAAGTCATAGAGTGTTTAACTAAGCTAAAACATAATAATTATAGGATAATAATTATTAACTAGATTAGAAGAAGCCATTGTATGGACTTAGTTGAGGAGGCAACTGAGAAGATGAGACCATATCCATCAAATCCGTGTCCATTGTACATCTAAAGGTTGTACCTTGATCAATTGTTGGTAGATTTGTTGTCGATGTTATGTTTCCAGCATTGCATCCATCCCATTGATATGAAAAGTACAACTCATCAGGATAAATCTGTGAAGCTTCAGTCTCCACACTTCGAAAGTTAGAATTAAATTCAATGATTAAATCTGAATTCTCAGAAGGGAAAAATTTATTTCCCATAGGATTTGGAATAGAATGGAATAAGTCATTTTCCACATATTCTATAGCAGGCAGTTGAGAATCAGTTGTCCGTAAATTCTCCCGGGAAGTGAAGAAGATGGTGGGATGATTATAATTTTCATCAATGTTGAAGCTATAAGTATTCTCAAATGTCCCTTCAACTAGATTCATTAGTTGACAATGATCGACTGGAATTGAATCGATGGACTGATTGTTTTCAAACAGGGTTTTCATGAAACCCATTTCATCATTGCATGATTCGAAACTGAAAAAGGGTGTAGAGTCTTCATTGTCAAAGAGTCGTGTGCCGACGTTAGACGGATTTGCTGCAGTGGTGGTGGTACCGAAATTTGAGTTAGTGGAGGTGGAACTATTACTGAAATACCTTTTTATGATGTAATCTTGTAATAGTGTTGACTATCTTCTATCTCCTTTTACTTTCTTTATCTTTCTCCTTGAAATTTGCCTCCTTTTTGTGGCATTCTAGTGATTCCTTATTGAATTTTTAGTTCTTCCAGGAATGTACTTAGCTATCTCCGCCCATCGATTTCCAAGTCTTTCATGTGCTTGAATTGACTGTCTCTCTTCATCTTCAGTCCAAATGTCCTTCTTGATACGAGGATGTAGATGATTATTCCATTTCTCGCGACATTGTTTTCCCACTCCACCAACCATTTCTTCATCTATTACAGCCCATTTCCTCAATCCAAATTGATGTACTAAGCTAATCAGTCTCCTGTCTTCTTCGCCTGTGTACTAGCCTTTTATTTGATATCCGAAAGAATAATCATTCTCTCTCTTCTCCTTCTGATCAAGATTGACTGGTGCAGGTATCACATTTACTGAAAGATTTTCACCTGAAGTTTGTTTTTCATGTTGAAGTCCTTCCATGAAGCTTGGCTCTCCGGTGGTATAATTACTGGTTGTGCCATTTGAAGAAAAATTCTGAAATTGATTTACTTCATTAGAAGGAAAATGGTTTAGGGTTTAGGGTCCAAGGTTCAAGGTTTAGGGTTTAGGGACGTAAGCAGATTTTCAATCAAACGAAGGAAGCACATTGTGCAGGCGATGTCTGGGGCCAGGTACGTTCCCAAGCATTCTGGGCAGTTTTTGGGACACGATGTGCAGGACATATTTGGGACAAGTCATGGCCTTGTCAGGGACGCAACATGATTTTTTGGAATTTTTTGATAGTTTCTGGGCATTGTGTGCAGGCCATGTTCGGGACGCATCCTGGCCAAGCAGGCATTGTGTGCAGGCCATGTTTGGGACGCAGCCTGATTTTTTGGCATTTCTTGGCAGTTTCTGGGATACGATGTGCAGTGAATGTCCAGCATACAGTAGGGATGCAGCCTGGTTTTCATGTATTTCTAGGCAGTTTCTGGGAAGTGGTCTGCAAGCCTTGTCTAGGACGCGTCTAGGCCGCGGTTGGGAAGCAGCTTGATTTCCAGGCATTTCTAGGCAGTTTCTGGGACATGGTGTGCATGCCATGTCCAGGACGTGACAGGGACGCAACCTAATTTTCAGGCATTCGTAAGCAGTTTCTAGGACACGGTGTACAGGCTATGTCCGAGAAACGAGAGGGACGTAGCCTGATTTTCAGGCATTTTTGGACAGTTTCTGGGAACTGTGTCCAGGCCATGTTCGGGACGCATCCTAGCCATGGTAGGGATGTAGCCTAATTTTTAGACATTTCTGGAAAGTTTTTGGGCACGGTGTATAGGCCACGTTCGAGACGCATCCTGGCCGCGACAAGGACGCAGTCTGATTTTTAGGCATTTCTAGGTAGGTCATGTCCGCGACACGTCGGGGACAAAGCTTGATTTTCAAGTATTTCTAGGCAGTTTTTGGGCACGGTATATAGGCCATGTCCAGGACGTATCCTAGCCAGGTAGGGACGCAGCCTAATTTTCAGGTAGTTTGTGGGCACGGTGTGCAGGCTATGTACGGGCAACGGTAGGGATGTAGCCTGATTTTCAGGCATTTCTAGGCAATTTCTAGGTCATAGGGTTTTGGGGTTCTTTAATTAATTTAGAATTAAAAGCTGGAAGCATATACATGACAAAGAATAATGAAAATAAAATGTAGCTCAACGTTACAACACATGAATAATAAAACTTGTCTACACAACAAAACCAAACTTCCCACTGTCCCAGTGCCACAAATAAACACCTTCGCCACCTTCAGACCAGTAGCACCGTTAGTCGGCACTAGCGTCGGTGCATGGTAGTGGTGATGTTGATGATGAGGAGAAGGTGCCTGCACTGTAGATTGGTGGCCGGAGCCATGTTTATCGGACAAAACCATAACCCCTAGCTTTTGACCCTTCTTGCAATGTTCATCAGCTTCACTGATGAAGAAAAATGGACCTGATTTTTTCAATGAAATTGTAGTTTCTCCATCATGGTGTTATTTTATTGGATTGGCATTGTTGCAGATTTTGTAGTCTTCCTCGGTCACTTCCAGCACTGAATCACTCTTGGAATCATACTTCAAAACTAAAGAATCCCCAATTTGAAAACGAGTTTTCTCAGCCCATTTGTTGAACTCGCCAACAAAAGATGGAACTGGCCATAAATTATTTTCACTCCCTAGTTTAGGGTCCCGGGTCCAAGGTTCCGGGTCCAGGGCTTAGGGCTTACGATTTAGGGCTTAGCGTTTAGGGTTTCTAGGACACGGTGTGTAGGACATGCCCAGGACGCAGCTTTATTTTCAGGCATTTTGATGTGAACCCGCGTAGCACGATCACTACCAAAGCCATAACAAAATGAGAATCAAACCCAAGAAAGCCAATGACAAGGTTTTGGATTAAACCCAATAAACTGGAACCAAGCTACCCAAATCGTTGACAATATTCGGACTTCTTGATTTGAACGCCACAAGATTAATCTTGATAAGTTCACAAGTTGTTCAACGAAGAATGAGAGAAAGCAATTAGTGTCTCACGAATACTATTCAATAATATGAGAGTTGTAATGTTTTACAATAAGGAATAAAGTATTTATACTACTCTAGAGAACCTAAGTAAACTAGGAAAATTATCTAAGAATAATGCAAAATTCATCCACAATAGCCTAATTATGGTAAAAATCTACTAATAATGAAATTCAATTAAAATAAAGAAAAAATGTGAAAGTTGGAAAAATTCACCTCGGACTTGACCTATGCAGCCACATAGCTTTAGAGCATGTGATAGCATAGTGTAATTGGTCTTCGACTTTGGGACTTCTGTTGGGTGTATGTGACCGCAGGACTTTAGACTTGTGCGGCCGCATGGTTGAATGCTCCAACTCCATTTTCTTCGGCTTTAAACAGGTTGATCCAATACTCTTTGTCCTTCGCCCCTAACACGAGACTTGCTCCATTTTTCATCTCGAACATTATTTCATCAACCTTTCTTTAACGACCAATCCCATCACCTCTTTCATGTGCTTGGCCCTTGATCACATCATGGCCCCTCAACTATTAATTGATCTTTTCTCGGGCTCGACTCTGGACTTGACTTTGGTACTTGTGCTTCCTGGATCACATCATCCCCTTCCTCTTCGAAAGGATTCGACCTCAAATCTGCACTTGCATCGAAAAGAGATAAGTCAAAAACATTGAAGGTTGCAAAAAACACTATTCTCACCTGGAAAATCTATCTTATAAGCGTTGTTGTTGATCTTCTCAATCACTTGGAACGGTCCATCTCCTCGTGGCAATAACTTTGATTTTCTTTGCCCTGGGAATCACTCTTTCCTGAAATGCACCCAAACTCAATCTCTAGGTTCAAAAGTGACATATTTTTAGCCTTTGTTTGCTTGTGTTGTGCGTTGATTGTTCTTCCTCTCTATTTGCTTCCTTACCATTTCATGGAGTGTCTTTACCAATTCGGCTTTCTTTTTCCCGTCCAAGCTACCTCATTCATTCACAACCAAAGGTATTAAATCCATAGGTGTTAAAGGATTAAAACCATAAATGATTTCAAATAGTGAAAACGACGTAGTAGAATGCGTGGCCCTATTATATGCCAACTCAATGAAAGGCAATCATTCTTCCCAATTCTTTAGATTTTTATTAATCACAGTGCGCAATAGTTGTGTAATTGTTCTATTCACTCCTTCAGTTTGATCATCAATTTGTAGGTGACAAGTTGTAGAAAACAATAATTTCGTGCCTAACTTTTGCCACAAGACCCGCCAAAAGTGACTAAGAAACTTAACATCCCTATCGAACACAATTCTTTTGGGAACACCATGCAAACACACTACTTATTTGAAAAACAAGTCCGCAATGTTAGCGACATCATTGGTTTTGTGACATGGTATAAAATGTGCCATTTTACTAAACCTATCCACCACAACAAAAATTGAATCAAGCCCCTTTTTAGTCCTAGGCAAACCTAACACAAAATCCATTGAAATGTCAACCCAAGGTTCGCTAGGTACCGGTAAAGGTGTATAATGTCCATTGGGTAAAACTTTTGATTTAGCCTTTTTACAAGCTATGCAATGACTACAACTTTGTTCTACGTCAATATTCATTTTAGGCCAATAAAAGTGTTCATTTAACATGTCTAAAGTCTTTGCTATCCCAAAATGACCCATTAAACCCCCACTATGTGCCTCCCTAACCAAAAATTCACGTATTGAGCAATTAGGAACACATAATTCATTTTCTCAAAACAAATACCCTTCATGCTTAAAGAACTTGTCAATAGCCCCCTTATTACATGAATTGTAGATGCTAGAAAAATCAAGATCATTTTCATACACATCCTTAACATACTCAAAACCAGGTAATTTTGCACTTAAAGAAGTGAGAAGCACATACCTTCGCGACAAGGCATGGGCTACTATGTAACGTCCCGACCCCTAGTGGACCAGAACGCTACTTACTTTACTTAGCTTAACCGGCGGTTTAGTAACAAGTGTATACATTTTAAAGGAAGCTTACATCTTCGAATAATAATTTAAATAACAATACTTCAAATACTTTAAACAAAAACACTGAATCATTTTTCAAAACAAACAAATGTAATTTATTTGAAGAAAACATAACTTGTTCTCGCATTCTGCGTTATTCAAAATTTTAAAGAAATAACATTGGAAAACATTTCATAAAAATAAATCCAAATCACTTATTCACCGGATTTCCATGGGCTCGTTGCATCACTCTCCATCTTCTCCTCCATCCATGACCGAGGTAGAATTCCTTCAATATGTAGAGATGGGATTAAACCCGTGAGTTGAAAAACTCAATAGGTGTCATAGGTGCATTCGTGATCAAGCTATATATTTCAAAACATTAACTTTATAACTTTTCATACATGCCGTACCCGGAGGTACCATTTGACATGAAGGGGTATGCCATACCCGAGGGCACCATTTGACATACGAACATTTCTTCAACATAGAGGGGTATGCTGTACTGAAGTACCATTTGACATACAACCATTAACATAGAGGGATACGCCATACCGGA